TAGTAGAATTACTAGTAATATAATATTATGGTAGTATGTTATAGATACTACTATTTTTTCTTACCATGTTCTTCCTAGTGCTTCTTGTTGCTAGCCGCCACCTACCATTTCCCGCAGCTGCTGGACGGCTRCCCGGTGCCCCGTCTTGGTCGCGACAATCACCGTGCAGTAGGGCGTTTCTTCCATTCCGAAGGTCTTGGGCAGCTCGATCTCGTAGGCGAATTCGGCGTGGTTGGCCAGCAGCTCGTCGTCAAAGTACTTGTAGTACGACGCTGTGCCACTCTTTTCGCGGTAGGTCGGCGCAATCCGCACAAAGGCCCCAAAGTCGAGGGACTTGCGGAGCCTTTCGGTTTCTTCCTTCGTTTTTCCCTGGCCTGCGGCATTCTCCACGGCCCAGTCCATGTCCATGACGAGTTGCTGGTGCAGGACCTCCACGATTTCGAGGGGCAGGTTGACCATGCGGCTCTGGAAGTAAAAGCCTGCCGGACGCTTGGTGGTCCCGCTCAGAACGGTTTCTAGTTCCTTCTTCCGGTCCCCCGGGCACTTGGAAAGGCACAGCTTTTTGAGGGCCTGGATGGAAGAACTATCTCCGTGGGTGGACACGTTCAAGACGGACGCAAACCCGTAGACGACCCCCTCATAGTCTGGATCCTTTTGCTGGCCGGGCTGGTAGTAGCCCGAATAGTCCGTGCTGATAACGGTTCCCACAGCGGCGTTTTCGATCATCAGGTCAGTCAGCCCCGAGGCGGTGGCTCCGTAGGCCGGGCTGGAAGACGCCAGCAGGTTCTTGATTCCGTGAAAGAATTTTTCGTCCATATCGCAAAAGGTAAACTCCATGTCCACTATTTCGGGGCCGCTGTTTTTTTCCTTTTTCTTCTTCTTCTTGTTCTTCTTTTGTAGTTGTTTCTGGTTCTTCGTTGTGGATTGCTTGTCGTCCTTGCGTTCGATTGCTGGATCCCGTGTTGTGGATTTGAGGCTTTCGTTCGTGTCGTTTTTCTTTTGCTTTTTGGCGGGTGGTTTCGTGGTTTCGTCTGGGTCTTCCTCGCAACTATCCTCGTCCGATGACGAATCCGAGGCGTCGGGATTTCTCACCAGAACGCCCTCCAGTACAAGGTCTTCGTCCTCTTCGTCGGAGTACGACGACGACGACGAATCGTCGTCGGAAGCAGCGGCAGCAACTTTTGCGGGTTTTCCGTCTTGGCTCATGGCGGTCGGTATGTTGGTTGTTGTGTGAGGTGTGTTGGCTCTATCCTTTCGATTCGTGTGCRAAAGAGCTTTTTTGGTGCTATGCTTTCTTTGGAGCAACGTCGAGTACCTCGAGTAAGAGACCTCGGGAGAGCAAAACCAATCCACTCTTTTTACTGTATTCAAATTTTGGATGACAGATTTCAGACGGGTTTTGATTTCCGATCGTTGTTTTGGTACAGAAGCAACGCAACCGTACCGTAGGGTACGGTACGAGGGGTACGAGTTACGAGAACTACGTACCGGACGGTACAGTATACTTTACTGTATTCACCTGTTGGTTGTTTTCGTCTTGTCAAATCCATGATACGAACGAGCGTACGGTACCTGTACACCCTATCTCATCGATACGTAATACGTACGCTACCTGGAAGTACGCACCATACGTACGGTACGGTAACCTAATTGTATGACTACCACACCCGTGCGGTAACTCGTMGAGTGCTAATACGATTAAAAAATTCTCGCTTGAAAAAATTTACCATACCGGTAAATGATTGGCGCTACGAATGGTTTCTTCTGTCTAATATCGTCTGTCAGACTGTCCCTCCGCTACTACTTTATCGGTTTCTCGGTTTCTGTCTTCCGCTCAGACTTCGATCAGGATTCAGGATCAGGTAGGTAAACTACGAGGAACTTACTCGTAAGTACGATTCGTGTTGTTAATTTTTTTCGTCTGCCCTTGGATCAAAGAAAACGAAAAACAGGAAGCTGTAACGATATCCGATAGGCAGTACGTAGTTGATGGTATCTGTACCGGTATCATCGATCACAAAGCATCAGTCTTCACTCCGACAACCATTTCTGGGGGGAGGTAATTTCTCTGGAATTTATTGTGCTGAAGTCAAACATAGCTAGCATTGATGGGAAAGTCAAAAAAACGAAAGAATCGAACGAAAGCCTTGTACGAGGCCGCCGCGGCGGCAGCCGCAAAACGGAAACGACAAGAACACGAGGAAGAGGAATATTCCCGTTGTTCGGGAACAGCGCTCGCGAAAGAAAAGGAGCCTAAATGGTTACCGGAACCACTCTGTAATGGTGACAARACAGAAACAGATGCGATCGACACAAACCCCGCCCGAAAGCCCTCGGCCTCGGACCTCCGCACCACGCTGCGAACTATCCGGTATCTGCTCGCCAGCGAAGACAATCTGGACGACTTTTTGCACTCTAAGGAACACAAGCCGTTGCGGGCTGCCCTGCATCTCCTCGTTACCGAGCGCCTGAAGAGCTACGACAAGGGCGTCGACTATCGCACAAAGGTCACCCACCACCTGTCCAAGAAGCGATGGGCCTCGGCCCTGTCTTCCCTGCAGGCATCCAGGGACTTTCGCCAGGTACCCAAGCAGGGAACGGTGCAGCGGTGGGTTCGCGACATCGACGGGTGCACGGAACCAGCGGTCAAGATTCAGCTGCTGACCCTCGTTCTGAGCAGCAGCGGAAGGAACATCACTCCCGGAAGTGATGCATCGAATGCCACTAAACAAAACGACGACGACGACAACGAGAAAGACAACGACCATGATAATGATGGCATCAACAAGCACGATCCATCCCTAGCATTGCTTGAGGCTCAAAGCGAATACCGTAAAAATACACGAAACGGCAACCACCAACCTGGGGAAAGTAGCACCCCCACATGCAGCGAGGTACAAGTATTGAAGGGATGGAGCATTCCATCACAGCCATGCGCGGCAGCACAAGCCGGATTCGACATGGCAGCCGCCCAGGCTCTAGAAACCCGCAAGATCGATTCGAAAATCGTCTATCGTGAAAATGCGTCAGAGCGGACCCCACCCAATCACTATGATTTGTTATTGCACGCGACGGAACACGACGCCCTGAAGCCGTTCCCTGATGGAAGCACTCCAAACCACAAACCGAAAGGCGATCACCGTAGTGTGGCGACGGTGCGACCGCACCCCGTCCCCTTTGTGAAGGGCGCGTTCGTCCTGGAGAACGTCCTCTCGCCCTCCGAGTGCCTCGGGCTTGTCCAGACCGCTTCTGCGCTAGGCTACCGGCCCGACCATCCCACGGCTCTGCCCAAGCCGACAGGAATCGATTCCTGCGAGTGGTTTGTGAATGATTCGATCCATGACATCGTCTACGACCGGGTCAGGGAGCACCTCCCGTCAACATTGTTGCCGGTGATGGGAACGAAAGGCAATACGAGTGCCGATGAGACAAACAACGGCGACGACAAAGAAATGAAGGCCCCKGTCCTATGCGGAATCAACCGCCGGTGGAGGTTTTTCAGGTATGGGCAGGGATGTGTCTATCGCCCCCACATCGACGGGTCGTGGCCGGCTGGAAGGTTATCGGAGGACGGGGCTTCCTACGAGCGAGATCCAACGAACGGGACTACCCGGAGCTATCTGACCTTTTTGGTGTACCTGAACGACGATTTCGAGGGGGGCGAAACCAGGTTCTACTATGTCCCAGACCAGGACGTGTACGCCACAGACGATGAAAATGAGTTGTCAAGCAATGYGCGCGAACGAGATGAGAACACGATGGCGCCGTCATTGGTAGCGCGGGGAATTATCCCCAAGATGGGGTCCGTCTTGGTATTTCCGCAGGGGAACTCGGCGTCGCTCTTGCACGAGGGATCGGCGGTAATGAGTGGGACCAAATATGTGGTCCGAACAGACGTTGTATATCGGCACGGCTGAGAAATCACCACCCAGCCGAGCCACTCACAGCGATGACAACCTATACGAACCGCAATGCCATATTGTTCCCAAACATGGACAGAATGGTTCGCGACAACAAAAACAAAAAGGTCTGTAKAAACATATGAAAACTGAAGAAATCATTGATATCTGCTACAAGATTTGCGCGAAGGATTGTAATAAACCAGACTCTATGGTATATCCGCCGCCATATGATACTATTGAGATTCCATGTACAGCATCACACCATGAATGTATTTTCTGTGACGATAATCATATATTCGCATGCTGCCCCGATACTGTTGGTTTCAGTTGTATGATAGAATATGCTGCTTTTTTTTGGTATACTACTGTTGTACCCTGTTAGTAAAAGAAGTTGCTTGCTAGTCRTTGCCAGTTCCTTCAGACTGGTACGAGTTGGATTATGCTACTTGAAGAAGCGCTGCTGTGATATTTCTATTGCTAGCTTTCCTTTTGTTTGGCCAACGAAGRAATTTTGTTGTTTTTGGAACATTCCTTTATCATGTATTGAGTTGGGGTTGGGTTTGATAATGGTATGGCTAACTTTTTCTGGAGATTTTCAACCAGCAGTGCTCCAAAATGCTGATCTGCAAAATGCCATCAATGATGTTTTGATGTCTCCCAGTAATATGCATCAACTGAAGTTATTGAAGCCTTCTTGTTGGCGTAACATATGAAATCCATTTCAACAAATACTAGAAGGCCCACCTATGTTTGGAATTTTTAAAACAGGAGGTGCTGGACAAGCTTTTGCCTGAAGAAATTTCCCAGGATATCTGCCCACACCTGGTGTATCATGTGCAGGTTCTTGTAGTACCTATTATTATTTGGTGAGTCTAGCAAGTGGTGGTGGTGGTGGTGGTGGTGGTGTCGTTGTCGTTGGTGGTGTCGTTGTTGTTGTTATGGTAGCCTCTGTGGCCACCATTGTTGTTGCCTTGACTGCCTAGGAGGCCTCCACGGCCACTGTTGCTGCAATTGCCTCTGTTGCTGAGTGGGGAGAATTTTTGTCATTGTTTGTTGTTGCTGTTGTCCTTGGTAGGTGGCATCAATAGCTTGGTGCTGAGTAGTAGTGTTGCTGATACTGCTGGTGTTGCTGGAGATGAACTGTTGTTGCTGTATAGTGTTGCTGATTAGTGCTAATGGGGGGGGG